GTTCAAATCTGTCGTAGCAATATGGATTGACCACATTTTTTGTTTGACAATGTAACTCATTCCAAAGAAGAACTAAAGTACTAGTAGTGTTTGTGTAATACATAGGATACAATTGACTTATGTTGGAAGATATTTTTTTTACACATGATGAAAAGTTGCCGAATAAATTATAATAGGAAAAAGTGAAGTGGACGTTATGGTTAAAACTTGGACAAATATCTACAACGTGTCTCGAAATCAATGTCTTCGAGGGGAAACCAAAAGGCCGTACCGTACAGCAACGCGTGAGGTTGGAGTGGAGAGGTTGCGTTTGTGGTGAAGGATTCACAGGAGACTTCTGACTTTTTGTTAGGTCCCCGAAAACGACGTCGTCTCCGTCATTGTTCCGTGCCTAGGCCAAACGTTGAATTTCGAGTTTTCTTTTATTATCATCTTGACAAAACAAAATCAATGCATTTGACACTACAATAATTCAAAGCCATTAGAAGCCACATACCCCTTTTTTTTATTTTCTCGTGATGTTAAGGAAACATAAATATATTTACACGTTTCAGTCTTAGACATAAGAAATTTCATAGTACGTAATACTATTCTCATAAAAGTTTCTGGCAGAATAGTAAAACTAATATTATTCTTTCATTAGTATGAGTAAATCAAGATTTGTGAATGGAATTCAACGGCGATTGACTGGTTTAGCCATGTTTTAATGCAATTATCTTTTCTAGCGCTCAGTCATTTGTCGGGATTATCCAAAATAAAATGGTACGCGCTTGTATGCATAATATAATACAAATCCAATGAACACAATAAAATATTTTTTTATAATTCATTAACGAGCTGAATTGTATGTACATAATATAGCTCTTAATAAATTAATTCCGTTTCCTGACCAATTCGTATAATTATATTGTTGGTCTAAGGTGAACAATAAATACGAAAAGGACTCTTCACTCTTGTACCTTATTTATAAATCTATATATATTAATAAAGAAGTTTAAAGGGTTGTGGTGAAGACACCTCATCATCCTAGGTGGATGTTTTCTATATATATATATATATATATATATATATATATATATATATATCTCAATTTTACTGTTTCCAAAGTCGGTAGTTTTATTTGACCTAAAAAAATATGTTGTAACAAAAGATTTCAAACATTTCTTGATTAGTCTTACAAACCCTTTTGTCTATCTACCTCCCATTTTTGACCGCCACTTGCTACCACTCGTCACTATTTCCCTTCCTAAGTTCTTTTATATCGTAACAATCATTTCAAGTTTTGGTATTATCTTGCAAAACCTTATATATATATATATATATCTTTTATTTCCTTCTGTATGTTCTATTGGAACGATGATATCGTTTATACATGAATTTGAAATATTAGAAAAATAAAAGAGAATCATATATAATTATACCAATTGATTACAGATTTTACAAAACTAAATATTGACTCTAATAGTCAAGAGTCATTGCCTTCAGGCTTCAAAAGATATCAAGGGGAGACGTAAATGATATGGCGAGGATGCGGATCCCCCGTTTTCGCCTAGAGGGTCCAATTACGGTCCGGTTAGGCTAAACCGGACGGTGGATTCGGTTAGGATAAATCGAACTCGATTTAGTAATAAGCTGGAACCACTAGAAAACAGTGAAGATCCGAACTGAGATGAGAGATCATCATTTTCGTTCCTCATAACTGAATCCGACAACATACCGATATCTAATTGTACCAACACCGCATCCAACATCTAATTGCATGTCAGTGGATTCGGACAAAATTTAGAGAAATAACTTGTTTTTTGTAATAAATCATTTTTTTTTTCTAAATTGTGGTAAATTCGATTGGCCCGGACTCACTCCAGCCCAATAAGAAGAAAGAGCAAATAAATATTTTCGATTTTTATTTTTTTAATAACATGGCATCTTGCAATTTGTTTTTTTTTTAATGAATTTTGTTATTCCTAAAAAATTCGCACAATACGTGAGCTACGATTTAATATTTATTTTACGCTGTTTATACGGTTGTGTATTTCAATTTCTATTTTATTGAACAGAATCTAATTTGGTTCCAATTTTTTGAATTCCAATTCAATCATAACCAATAAAAACCGGTCTAAATCTAACTGGATTTTGGATTTGATTTCTACGTGGACCGATCCAAATCCGAAAACACAGACCCCTAGATTTTTTGAGGGTCTGAATATTAAATGCCATAATAACTAAAGCTGTGAACAGATTAACAAAAAAAGACGATAACGAGGAGCGAAATATCGGTGGATAATAAATTTAAATTTAAATTTAAATAAATAAATAAATAAGAGATGGGACATATGAAAGAGGAGGAGGGGTGAAGATACAGAAGTAGGAGGTACGACGATTCACGCTGCAAACACAGCATGCATGAACTGATTTCTGATTAGATCCCTCTTGTACGGAACAGTTATTCTCTCTCCCTCTCCCCCTCTTCCTCGAAGAGCATCATAAATTATACATATACATGCGCACTGATAAAACATTTATTGCACTTGTCTTAATCTATAAAGTGATAAAATCCGGCAAGAAATGTGAACCGAAGATCCGTGCATGGATCTCCTTTAATTACCACATCATCATGTGCGTGAATCTTTATAACTGTGTGTGTATATATAGCCATTGAACGAATGAGGCAGTCGGGAGTCGGGAGTTTTGTTTTAGTATTTTTAATGTTAATACAGATTTTTTTTTTGATATCCGGATCTTTTGGAGTTTGGTCTAGTCTAATCTCGTGAATAAGAGTAAGCCATATGATTGAATTTACGTTTTTTCTCTCCATGTTAAGGCTCGAACTCGTATGACCAGATATGTTTTGTATTCCGTTTTACCCATCGATCTATCCAAGTTGGATAATCTAAATTATATTGTAAGCATTATCTAGGAAGTCAAATAAGTTGATTAACACAGTTTGTATCTGGTTGTTTATGTATGGTTTTATCTTCATGTAAAACAGTAAAAGAGGGAATAATAAAGAATTAGAGGATTAGATGCAGTTTTTTTTGTATAAAACAAATGAGCCATGATAATATACTGTATTGAAACCAAATTAAAAGATGTTGTATCTATAACTTCATATTTGTTCTATAAAGTTCCTAACCATATATGAGAAACTTTATAATAATTCATTCCTAACAACATCCGCCTTTTACCTTTGTCGGAAACACTGTATGTGTGTGTGTATATATATATATATATATATATATATTGTTTTTTCCTGGTAAGATGTCAAAAACCATGGTGCCTTGATAATCATAGAGAGACTGTGTCTAGCTATAAAAAGTAGCGTTACATAAAAAAAAGCCGCACCCTCCCTCTTCAGATCGGGAAAAAGCAGAATCCCACTTTCATTTTCTTCCGTTTTAGTGGGTGGAGAGATTGCAAAACCTAATCCAGTTTCCTCCGATCTCGAAAAAGGTAAGCAAATCATTCAAAATCACAAGAGAAAAAGCGACCCTCAAACACATTTGCTTATAATTCTCATGAATCTCGTTCGGTTCTTTCCAACCAATCGTTGATGGGTTGATAAATTTGTCCATCTCTCTTTTCTGGGTCATGCATTTTTCATTCAAAGTTTCAAACTTTTTCTCACCTAGATCTGATCTCTCTCTCTCTCTCTTCTAGCTAGGGTTTTCAGACAGGCGTGAATCCTTTTGGGATTCTCACGGTAGAAGGTTTTCAAAAACCCTGTTGAGTTCATGTCTGAAAATAGGGATTTAATCACGCGATTGTCACTTGATTATGTCTTTCTTTTTTGTTTCTTTGATTTGTTGTTGTTAAATAGCGGAATCGGAGCCGTGAAAATGACGAGAAAGAAGATAAGGATAAAGAAGATAGACAACGTGACGGCGAGACAAGTGACGTTCTCTAAGAGAAGAAGAGGAATCTTCAAGAAATCCGAAGAGCTCTCCGTTCTCTGTGACGCCGATGTCGCTCTCATCATCTTCTCCGCCACTGGAAAGCTCTTTGAGTTCTCTAGCTCAAGGTACTTCACGCATACATACATATCCATACACACACACACACATGTATGTACATGTGTGTGTGTGTGTGTGTGAATGTAGAAGATCCTTGGTTAAAGTGTTGAAAACTTTATCAATTCATTATAATCATTTCAAGGATTCGATGTTTATAGAAATGGGTTTGAGTGAGCAATTAGAGAAGAATATACATGGAATAAAAAAATGGGGAGAGAGAAAAAAAGGAAGAATGTGTTGTTGGAGATATATATACATACACTAGTGTATGATATAGATATACACATTTATAAGTATACTATGATTTAGACCAGGAGCTAAGATTAGTGTATTGATATGTTCATATATATATAATATTATCCTGGGTTACATTGTATTTAATTTGTTGTTGTAATGCAATTGTCTTTATTACATGTTCTTAGGTTTGGCTATATACAAACGCAGATATATTATCTCGTGGAACTATATATATATATATATATACCCACACATACATACATATATACATATATGTATATACTATATAGATAGGATGCGATTGATGTGGTTTTGTCAACGTGTTAGAATGAGAGACATCTTGGCAAGGTATAACCTTCATACAAGTAACCTCAATAAACTGAATCCTCCTCCTCTTGATCTCCAGGTAATTAAGTCCATCTTATTTCATTCATTTCTGATATTTCCCATTCATTAAATATCGAATATAGACGATCTTCCATCTCATAAAAAAGTGTGAACATCGGTTTTTATGTAATATATGTATATATATGTGTGTGTGTGTGTGTGTACACTTTTGTTGGATCTTCATTATAATTGACACTGCGTGATGATTATATAAAAGAGGCATGAAAATTGTATTGATAAATATGTCTTTTATGTTTCCTAAAGCTGGAGAATAGCAACCTCGTGGTACTGAGTAGAGAAGTCGAAGAGAAAAACAAGCAGCTATGGTACATTGCCTCACATAACGCATCTACACACATATATATATATGTATATACCTATGGAGTGTCAACATGATTGCATATATATACTCGTAGTACGTATTGGTTTTCCTTTTGTATATGCAACAGTCATCTAAGGGGAGAGGATCTTCAAGGTTTGAACTTGGAGGATTTGCACCGCCTCGAGAAATTGCTTGAATCCGGTCTCGGCCGCGTTCTTGAGAAAAAGGTTGAGATTATTACCTTATAACGTATATGTTTTGGACGCTCATACATATATATATATGAACATGTGTGTGTATATATATACACACATGTTCTGGATAAACCCTAATGCCATGCACGTGGTGTTCTTCAGGGCGAACGTAGTATGGACCAGATTTCTTCATTTGAGAGAAGGGTTGGTTCGAATATACAATTAACTTACGATATTTACACACACACACACACACACATATATATATATATATATGTGTGTGTGTGTGTGTATGTTGATGATGGCGAGTGATGTATATATAATGTGCAGGGAGCAGAGTTGGAGAAGGAGAACAACAAGCTGAGAGAGAGGGTAAAGATGAGACTCTTCTCTTCTTTAACCACACATATTTATCAGTTTCACAGCATGCTATACACAAATTTCTTAACAATAGCAACGTGTGTAAACACACACACACATATATATATATACATATATATGTGTGTGTGTGTGTATGTATGTATTTGGCAGTTGAATATGTTAGAGAGAGGAAAAGCGAAGGCGTTTGGGGAAGGGGAAATGGTGGGGATAGAGGAAGGGACGACGACCAATCTCTCTATCTCCGGCAGTTCACTTCCTCTCAGAGACGATTGCTCCGACACTTCCCTTAAGCTTGCGTAAGCCCAATTTTGTTCATGCATGTATACACACCCATACATACACATATATATACGCACACTACCCACGCATGCGCATATATATATATATATATATATATATATATATAAATGTTATAGTCTTATAAATAGTATTTCCGATAATAGATATTACTTTTATTTCCTAATAGTTTACTAATTTTGTTAATTTTATTTGATTTGGTGTAGGCTTCCGTTTTCCATGTGAATCTGAAGAGAGAGAGAGAGAGAGAGAGAGATCAAGTTGCTTTGGAGGATTATAAAAGCATGAAATAGGAGATTAATTTCTGTTTATCTTTTAATTCCCCGCTACATTTTCAGGAAATTATATGGAATATTATATATATTAATTATATGTACATTTCCTGCTAATTATATATAAGTGGTTTATTTCGGGCCTACAAAACCAAGGTCTAGAATTTGTGTTCGGATAGTTTTTTTTTATAATTTAGTTAAAAAAAAAACGAAATTTCAGAGCGGTCCGAAAATCCAATTTTTCGAGCTTGACACCCTGTATATGAAAATGCAGGTCTAAATAAAAGGGTTTCGAATAAATCCGATAAATATTCCAAATCTTGACGATGAGACCTCAGGCGGTGGAGGTGATGATCTGAAGCTTCTGGATCCAGTAGCCGAGCTGCTCAGCAACGCAGGCCGATCCGGTCGAGCCATATGACGAGAACTTCCTCACGGAATTCTCGACCCCGAGAAATTCGTAGACATCCTCTTCAAACACGTCGCTCACCGCTTTCATTTCTTCGAGATTCAGCCTCTGAAGTTCACACCCTCTCGAGACGCACACTGCCACTAACCTTCCGACCACGTCGTGAGATGACCTAAACGGCATTCCCTGTGAATCGAAAAACGTGTGTTATCGGGTAAACATCGCAAGGTGTTATGTACGGATGAAAGGGTTATTTACCTTCTTCACGAGGTAATCTGCAAGAGTGGTGGCATCGAGGTGGCCAGCCGGTAAGGTCTTGCTTATTCTATCGTGGTTGAAAGCAACGTTTTGGGCGAATTCTGAAGACACGTCGAGCATGCCCGCTATGGTTTTCACGCTATCAAACATCGGTTCTTTATCTTCCTGAGACACAAGACAAGTTAAGTGAATTCTCAGGGGAAAATGGTCTGAAAGATTCAGATTGAGAACAAAAGATCAGACCTGAAAATCACGGTTGTAAGCGAGGGTAAGTCCCTTGCACAATGTGAGGAGAGTGACAAGATTCCCTATAACTCTAGCAGATTTTCCTCGGACAAGCTCCATCGGGTCTGGATTTTTCTTCTGCGGCATTATACTGCTTCCAGTCGAAACGGAATCACTTGGAGTGATGAATCCAAACTCCTCAGATGCCCACAGTACCCACTCTTCACCGAGCCGAGACAAATGAATGGCTGTTGTGGAATTTGCAAACGAAAACTCCAACACGAAATCCCGGTCTGATACAGCATCGATGCTGGATGGAGTACCGAGACAAAAAAAAGAAGTAATTCATAACGAAACAAGAGACTGAAGCTCAGGGCAGAACAAATGAACAATGTAAGTCCAAAATCTCCGGATTTGGGACATACCTATTCCTCATTGGTGCAGTGAATTCTAAAGCATTTGCGGTCATAAACCTATCAATGGGCAGACCAGTTCCAGCCAAAGCACATGCTCCGAGAGGACAGAAATTTAACCTCTCTCGACAGTCTATATAACGACCAACATCACGTTCAAGCTGCAAAATAATGGACCGAATACCGATAAATTAGTAGAACTCCAAGGGAAAACAAATACATAGATATAGAATACAATGTTCAAGTAGATCATGGTAAATGCAAAACCTATGATATTTGGGGCACTAAGGCAACCTAACAATCAGAAAAGGTCGCAAAAGAAGACAAAAAAACCGGTTCGACCCTCTAGATCTAATTACTGAATCAAATTGGTACAGCTAAATCTATAACAATGTGCAAATTCCGAACCTGCTCCACATAAGTTAAGAGAACGTGTGGCAACAGAACAGGTTGAGCCCTTTGAAGATGTGTATAACCAGGAACTATTAAAGCCTCATTCCTCAAAGCCAACATCACGAGTGAAGTCTGCAGATGTTTGATTTTGGCGATAATGGTATCGATGGCATCACGGCACCACAGGCGGAAATCGGTGGCAACCTGATCGTTCCGGCTTCTTGCTGTATGAAGCTTCTTGGCAGGCTCACCGATCATGTCGGTAAGAGCTGCTTCTATGTTCATGTGCACATCCTCTCTATCAGTTCTCCATATGAATTCTCCTGCTTCTATTTGCTTCTCAATGGCATCGAGACCAAGCAAAATACTGTCCCTGTCGCTCTCGGTTATAAGCCCCTGCAAGAGAAGAACATCACCAACATTGTCTTTTTACATTTTGGATTGCTTCCATGGTCTGAAAAACAGTGACGCGATAAAGAGGCTTAAATCTTTCAATCATTGCATTGTTCAGATACTGAAAAGATAATCACAGATTCGTGAAGCAAAGGGAGGGACTTTTGGATTCGACCCAGGATCAGAATCAGAAAAAGAAACAAACCCAAATCCCCAAAACCCAATCAGATTCTGATCCTAATCTCGAACTACATTTCGCGAACCTGCTTAGCGAGCATCGCGGCATGAGCCTTGCTCCCCATGATATCGTGCTTGTAGAGCAACTTATCAAACGAAATCGACTCCGTGAACTTCTCGACCTTCTCCGTCACACTCTCCTCGAATCTCCCTCCCCACAGTTTCGTCTCCTTGGAGGTTGTCTCGCCGACATGACCCATCGCACGCAACGGCTCCAGACGCCGTGACTTGCTTCCCGATGGCGGAACAAAGGAGCGGGGACGGTTTCGGAACGGCGGATTAGGACGCCGCGGAGAGGGGAGTGGGCTCTGGGAGAAGGATGAAAGATCAATTGCTTCCATGGAGGAGAATGGGAGAGAGGTTTTTGGTGTTCGGGAAAGGGGGTTTTGGCGTCAGCGACAACCACGAGGGATTTTCCCGATTTTTTTTTCTTTTTTTTTTCTTGTCGACTGCCTTTTCTTTTTCTTTTCCCTTCACCACCTTATTCCGATTTTAAATTACACATGTTAACGACAATGTTATACAGACAATTAAGTTGGATATTCGTCAATAAATTTAAAATCAATATTATAAAATCCAAATTGAACAGATTTTAAAAAAAAAAATTAAAAATTTATATGTAAATAAGAAGAAGAAGAAGGACAGGAGAGAAAATTTAGAATAACGCAATTTATATCTGAATATTTTAGATTTTATAAATTTTAAGCATCGGAAATATATATATGGACATCAGAACCTAAACTTTATTTAAAAAAAATAAAAGATCATTTTGAATAAATATCAATTATATTTAGATAATTTTGAATAAAAATCGAAATAATTTAATGATTCTGATTCAAAAAACGCAAGTATTTCACAGCAGAATCATTTATTTTACAACAATTGTTTCATTTTATATTCTGACAAAACGATTCATGTCTGACTATAAGCAGCAAGAGTTGGAGGGTAAAAATATCTAAGTTCATATGGTTCCTGTCCTGAAGAAGACCAGTCTCAGTATGAGAAGCAGTTGTAATTAAAAAAAAAAAAAGCCCAGATGCTCTCTCTATCCAGAAGGAGAGAATCAATCGGCCATTTATTAGATTTTTGGGGAAGAATTGGGGGAAAAGGAAAACTAATCAGAAGCCCATCTCTCTCACCAGACATCTCTCAGGTACCTTCCTTCCATTTGAAGTTTCTTAACCACAGCCTCTGCCTCTGATGAGCTCACCCCCTCCTGTTATGTTGTTTTCCAAACACAGATCAATAAAGTGTAACAGAGCCAAAAGAAGCAGACGGAAACCGGACTATATCGAGCGAAAATTCAACAGCCGGGCTCAAAGTATGCCCGTTTTTACTCGGGTCGGGCCGTGCCAGCCAGGGAAAGGTACCATACTTACTTAGCCTGGCAATCTGGCCAAATTTTACAATCTTGAGTCTCTGACACTGGCTTGAAAAATGAGTAAAGATTGTGTACCATACCATACCTGCTCTTGAACAATGGTATGTAGAGTCCGGTGAACGTCTCTTGCCATGCCCTTGGCGTCACCACACACATAGAGATATCCTTCTTTGATTAGCTTCCAAACTTCTGCTGCCTGAACCAAAATGCAAGAGATGGGACCATCAATATGCCTTCACCTTGTCATTCCTACAACAACCCGCTATTCTCCTGATTGATATACACTTACTTTTTCCATCATCTTATGTTGAACATACTCTTTCTGTGGTCCCTCGCGAGAGAACGCTACAATGAGCTCAGATAGGACGCCTTGATCAACATAATTATAGAGTTCATCCTCGTAGATGAAGTCCTGCCAACGAATAAAGATCCAAGTAAGAGATTGATACGGTGGAAACGTTTGCAAATGGCTACTCCTGAGGAAGCAAGGTAAAAATCCAACCATTTTTCGGTTTCTACACCCGAAGAAGAGCAAAGATGGACCTAGTTGAACTCCATTTTCTTTCAGTGCCATCCTTTCCTGCATACCAATGCATGGCCGGGTGTATATACTTATCTCCCCTTTGTTAATCAGAAACAGAACAACCGAATTGAACATTAGTTACAAACCTGCAGGAAACCTCTAAAAGGTGCCAAGCCGGTCCCAGGTCCCACCATAACAATTTGGGTTAAAGGGTCTGATGGCAACTTAAAATTGGATGTTCGAATAAAGATTGGAGCCGCACTACAGTCACTACTCTTCTCCATTGGAGTTGCACTCTGAAATTTTCAAGACTACTTGAACATCAGACAGTCATAAAGAATGAGTAGGGAATAAACAGACATCAAAAGAAGCTAAAAAAACATTACCTTCATCCATGTCGAGCACACACCCTTGTGAATTCTACCAGTTGGAGTGGGGCCATGGACTAGGGCACAAGTAACATGAACCCTATCAGGTGAAAATCTGAAAGAAAAAATCAGGAGAAAAAAAATCCGGCATTAGTTGATGGACAAGTCTCATTCTTCTAACTGTCATAAATAGCAACCAAAAATATGAAAAGATAAGCTAAACCACCTTGGCGAGGACGAGATAGAATAGTAACGAGGTTGGAGACGAGGAGCTATAGCAGCAAAAAACACGCCCAACGGGGGTTTTGCAGACGGGAATGCAACCATCACCTCTAGAAGACTTCTCTGACTTGCAACAATCCATTGTGAGTATTCATCCTGCAAAAACATGCCACTGTTAAGCAAAACTGATAACAGGTTTGCAGTTGGTTAAAAGCAAGAGAACAGAAAAAGCACGGAAAGAACAGGAAAAATAGATACACTAGTGACTCAGAACCTTTCCAGCAGGAGATGTTAAGTGCTTGAGTTTCTCCACTTCACTAGGTTCAGTAGCATATGCTGCCAAGGCAATCACAGCAGCCTGAAACCAAAAGCAAGTTTAGCATGGAGGAAATAAACAAAGCTAAAATAGACGAGGAAACATTGATAAAAGCTACATGCAGCTAATTGCAAGGACACAAGACAACCTTTCGAGGAGGGTTCAAGAGGTCAGCATAACGTGACAAAGCAGTACGAAGTGTGCAGGGGCCGGCAAAGGGAGGTGGTAATGAGCTTCCCATAGGTGATCCATCTTCCTTATCGGCATGTATAGAGAATAACAAATCCAGAGATTGTCCCAGCAACTTCCCAGCTTCTTCAACCGTTTCAACATGATTTTCAGCATAAACACCAACGTGGTCTCCTGTTTCATATCTGCAGACAAAGATTGAAAAAATTAGAAAACGCAGCTCTTGCAGAGACTAAAGTATCATTCATATGAACTAATTCGACTGTTCTTATAGAATAGAGAACGTTGGAGGAAAACGTGTAGGAAACCTAGCGGGGTAAAAAAAATAAAGTCCAGTCATCAAGATAAAAGTGAATTCTAGTGATATAGCATCTTGCTCTAACAAATAATACCATAAGCAGATCTCAAACCTCAAATAGGTAACTTGCACTCACATATCAAACACATTCATATACAGTCAACCGGTTCCTATACAAGTTGAACAGAACCACACAGCCATGAGAACAACCAAGTCATCTACTGAGGGCTGCAAGGCGAACACGGTTAGGTATGAGAGACTTACGTAATACCAGTCGCTGAAATATCAAACTCGAGATGAATACAAGACCGATCAGATTCAGGTTTGTGAAGTTCCTTCTGTACAGCAACATTCACTCTGTATGAAAGAAGGAACAAAACTTAGCATGCAAACAAAACTGAAAAAAAGAAGTACTGGTAAATGATATGCTTATTTACTACATATACCCGCGAGGATGATGAATGTCTACAACAGCATTCCCATTTTGCATGCTTGAGGAACTATCTTCCACAGGAGTAACAGCAGGATCATGAATCACCACTCGATATTCAGGAATAGCAGCTGTATAAGGGGTTACAACACTTGTATCATCCTCGCCTCTGAGCAGCTTATCCAGCTCAGGCCATAACGCTTCTTTCCTGCAAACCCAAAAGAAAAAAAAAATTGAAGAATAACTCGACAACCCTATACAGAAAACAAACTACATCCAATCTCATTTAGAATCTTCACTTTCCATAGTACTGGGGTAGCGATAATCATGAAAAAAACGGTAATGGGGCATATGAAAACCAGGGGAAGAAAAATAACCAGGCATTAAAATCATCTTCAATGCTCTGATCATCATCTCCTAGACCAACTTGAATGATACGCTTTGCACCTGAATTAAATGAGACAATACAAAATGACTGCTCCTTCATGCACCAAAAAAACTAGGAAATGTGAATCCAAGTTAACAATTGCACATAGGAAAAGGTAGATAAACAGCACTATCAGAGGTGCATAGCACACTATTATAAATTAATCTATCTATTCAAGGTATAGTATATAGGTTAAAACGTCAAGAAATGTAAATAACATTTGCATGTACCTTGCTCAGAGAGTTGTTCATCAAGAACGTTCCCTATCTGTGCCAAAAAAGTACCATAAGTTTAGACCAGCAAGTGATAAAAAAAAGGCGAGAAGACACACTTTTTCCCACAATACCTTATTGAAATGCTCGTATTGACGATTACCAAGACCAAAAACACCATACGTTAGTTGTTGAAGCCATACTCCACTTTCATTTCCCTGGAAAGAGGAAAACACGCACCTTAAATGGTATGCATAAGAAAGCTTCCGAAAAGCTGATAGTGCATGTTATATTAAATACAAAGAAAAAAGCTGATGACAAAGTGATAGAGTTCCTGCAATATCAAATACAAGGAACATTAAGTGAATATGATTTGTTGCATTAAGTTGACAAACCTCTGTAAACCATTTGTAAAACCTGGCAGCATTATCAGTAGGCTCTCCATCTCCATAACTAAACACATAATTAAACACATGAATCCAACAAAACTCTTGGAGATTGCGAAGAAGAAGGTAGCAAACTATGGATAAGATATATCTTACGTAGCAACTACGAAAAAAGCCAAAGTTTCCTTCTTCAATTTCTCTTCGTATAGGTCGTCATCCGCAGCATAGTCATCCTAAACAAATAAAAAGCATTGAAGAAGAAACCAAAGTGTCAAGTAGCTGAAAATAAAGTATCTGAGGAAGTAAACAACCATACCATGTCAACAACTTTGACAGCTGCTTTTTCATATCTCGCCTTGATTTCTTCTGCTAATGCCTAAAAACAGAAAAACTCCATGGCATGAGATCACAATGGATTACACGTTGGAGAAGAACAAATGGCGAGAGAAGTGTCTCAAAGCACCAAACTTTCAGTCACAATACAACAAAAAATTCCATCAAAATTTCAAATTTCAAAGGGTTTCAGATGAATTCTACCATATGGTAGCAACCCACATTCAGAATTACAACTAAACCCGGAAAATTTTCTGTAAAAGATTGTCAAAACCTTATTCTACATATCAACTAAAGGACTTCGAGTAACCAATAGGATTTCGGATTCATTATTTTCCGAATACTCCCTCATCGATTCCAAATCATACTAATCATCAAAATCACCCAAGTTCAGAGCTAATCAACCATGAAAATGCTCACTACCTTAGCAAATCCCTCAGCAGTTCCGGTCTGAGTACCGAAGAAGATAGTGACTCTGGTCTTCCCGGATCCCAAATCAAAATTATCGTCTTCGTCCTTGGCCATCAGAGACTTGGGAACCACCACCGGCTTCACCTCTCGGCTCCGATCCGTCGCTGTCTTCCTCCATAGCAACACCGCGAAACCCACAATCACCGCCAACGACGTGGTAGCGATCACAAGCGCGACGTCGTCAGACACCGAGTCGCCGAGAGAGATCCCCAGAGCCGACTCCAGGTACCTAACCAAACCAGAAGCACCGAAACTGGAGCTCATATTCGGGCGAATTTTCCGGGAAAATTCGATTGGAATCGAACCCAGATCCTGAAAGTGAATGGGTTCTCAGATATTCTCCCTCCCTCTCCGGAGAAAGACGATTCGGGAGAGATCGGGAGAAGTTGAGGAATCAAGAAGAACAGAGTTATTGTTTATGGGTTATGAGTTGAATCTGAGTGGGGCCTTGGCCTTTTTTCTCGAGATTTGACTCTCTTTCTTCCTTTTTTTTTTCCTTCATCCTTTTATAATGAAGGGGAAAAAACCTTTTTCTGTCTTTTCAAGTTTTTTTTTTATCAAAATCCTTTTATGATTTCTTTTAGGCGTTTTTATTGCGTAATTATTATTTTATCATTATTTTCATTCATTTTATGATCTTATATTTATTGTTTGCTTTTTTATATAACCTTTTAATCATTTTTTATTCATGTACTTATTTTAAATTTCAATCAAATTGTTACTTTATGTACTTTTTAATTTAATCTTTAACCAATACAAATAACATATATTAACCTATTGCACATTTAATTCTATTTTTCAATATTTGGAATAATGTTATAAATGTTTGGTGAAGGCAACAAGCGTCATGCATCGTACGTTCGCCGTTGGCAAAAACACGGCCCACAATTACCAAAGCAAAGGAACATAACCACACGTACTAAATTCACATTGCAAATTTGGACATAAATGAGTTATTTGTTTTCTATAAATGTTTTAATTTATTTTTTCATGATTATCTTATTTTTTATTTTTTTAATTAATACAACACCAACAATATCGCCTTAATCCCAAATTTATTTGGGATCGACCACATGAATTCTTCTTTTATATTCATTCATTTCTGAATTTTTCTATTCATAATTTTTTCAATTAATATAAAAAGATAATCTTCCATAACTTTTCTCTTAACTAAATATATAAAATCATATATATATAATTTAAATATACAATGAAATGGATATAAAATTAAATCAATAGATCTTTTATATAGAAAATTAATAAAATCAAAAAAAATAATTTGGAATATTTAACTATATATATATATATATGTATATGATACAATAATCCATATCATAACCTATGTTGGGAATTGTGTGACGTAATGTATTTCCTTTTTTGTTTAGGCAGCTCTTTGCCGACTGTGGTTGGTTTGGTAAGATGCGTACATAGTCAAGGAAAAATCTTCAGCCACAAAATTTTCGACAACGACTATTAAATACCTATTACAATATTTATTTCAAATATCAAACTTATATATTTTCTAACTTTCAATTTGCAAAGCATGGAATGTAATTTCATAATCCCCAAATCACATATTTTCCTTAATTCCTAATTTTGTTCCTCTTAAAACTGATAAGTATATGGTTTTGGGCTTATTAAAATCCGGATTATTCAATTAGCAGTATTTTTTATGTAATTGCATTAATCTTTTAAATTGATTTTTTATTTTTCTCACAACATTTTCTTGTGCTGCCAAATCCACCATTTAAGATATAGGTACCATTCAAGAAATTAATAATGACGTGGGAAGAGGAGGATTGAATATTTAATAAAAAAAACACTGTAAATAAATATATGGCATATAAATTATATGATATATTTTTTAATCATAAATATATCTTACAAGTATACAACCAATTAATCGTTTGAACTAAATGTGTTGACTAAGTTGTCCGATTTTTAATTATTTGGTTTGATTCACGCATCAAATATTCCAATATTTAAATTTGAATTTGAATTCATGAATTAATTTTTTTTTATCAATCGAATTTAACTTCAGATTTTGCAATTAGATATCACAATATCCAATATAATTACAAAAATATCTTTAAAATTTATTAAGAACTACAAAATTAAACAAACGACCATACAAAATCTTAATTTCTAAAATGATTAGCCTTTATATCGAGTATTTGACCAATCGCGTGTTCGATTTCCATGTTGTCAAATGCAGAAAAGTCTGTCTACCTCAGGATTTCACATGCATTGGTGGTAGGTAAACCAGCAATCACCAACCGGTTCGATCTTTTTTTTAATGGAAAATGATATATCCTGAACCGGTTAAACCGGTTTTAGTAGTTCCTGATCTACAATTGTTCAACCCAATGGGTTTATAAGGCCCAAAATATGAGCCCAAATTAACCCAAATACAAACTCCTCATTAGCTTATTATTCGAGGGGAAAACAAAATTTAAAACAAGTAAAAGAAAGTTTCAAGCAATTGATTGATAAAAAAAATCACTGAAATTTGGTTTTTTAATTAAAAATAATAATCACTGAAAATGGGTTTTTTAAAATTAAAATACCTTTATACTGCATATATATATATATATATATATATATATATATATTGAAAAACGTAGAATACTAAATAACGTACACTATATTATAGAATAAATTTGTCAAAATCCATGGTGCATCACAGGAATGACAAACTACGATAAATACGCACGCATATAGAGACATAATAACAAATTAAATGCGCACCATATATCTGTCAATAGGATATCGAAAATATATTTTTAATTATGGAGGATAATATGGGTATAAAAAATCGGTAATAAAGATTCTCTGCGTTGATTCAAGAAGTGAAAAGAGCTTCATTCATGGGTGGGCCCCTTTTGGCAGTTGGGAGATTCATCATGTCTTCTCCTTGAACTCACTGCTCAAATAACAAGGGCATTTGAAAAATTTAAGCAATTTAACTTATGGTGCTGATGCCACCTCCGGATACCCCGTTGAATCATTTGAATTGAGGGAAAAAAAATGGAATCGAATTATATTGTGAAGAAAATTCGAGTTCATGTAATTAAATCTGAAAACTCGCGATTAAACTGTAAAATAAAGTTTTTACTTCTAAAATTCGGATATCATGTACAAACCTATTAAATTCTTTTGAAATATCAGAAAATTTCCCAAATCAAATACATCACAAATCCGAAAATTAACTTGGGACCGAAAATGTCTAGATGGATTTGAAATCGGCTAATATCTCGTGTCGCAAATATTCAGGTAATCCGAAAATCTCGAATATCTGACCAGTGCCGACGACCTTAGAGAATTTGCTCGTTGTGATCTCGAGGCGACTTTCCCGATCATTGGCTTGCGTCATCGCGGGTAGCTTCGTCTAAGGAGGCAGCGAGGTACTCCGCGAGGCTCTGATGAGCACTGCTCGATTTGTTTGAGGAAGTTTCCGCAACTGTAGGTTTCTTCCGTACAATGGACATGGGAAGCCATGCTTGACCTGTTGAGCTACTGGTACAAGAAAATGGGCAACTCTTCCACAAGACTGGCTCTAGATTTTTCCATGGATCTTCCGACATGGATTTATCGTAAAAACGTTCAGGCCCTTGTGCTCGGTAACCTCCATCGTCATATTTCTGCCCCCTTCCTCCATTTCTACCGAAGCTCGAGTTCATATTACGCCCACCATCCCCTCTTCCTCTTCCTGAACCGGAACCCATTCTTCCTGCCCAGTTAGAGTTTTGTCGCCCATAATTGGAAAACGGTCGAGCATAACCTGGGATTGGGGGCCGATTGTAGTTTCCTTGGCCGCCAAATCTGTTCGCGGGATCAGGAATTGCTTGATGGTTCAGGAACGTGCCTGGCACCGGATGAGGGCTATGGAAGGGACGGAAATTGGGGGCTGGATGTCGAAAATTATTCCAGCTTTCCTGCGGAGTCCCGCGATATACAAACGATGGATTGGTCATTCCTCTCGGGTCTATATGCGGACTACCGCTATGATACTGACCTTCTGCTTGAAAACCGCCATGGCTGTTGTGTGGCTGGTAAGTATTTCCCACTGGTCCTGTTATAATATAAGGATCAGAAACAGCGAAAAGCAAAAAAGGGAAAAGGAAGGCTGATGAAACAGAACAAGAATATAAACGGAAAAGAAACTACATACGATTTGATCAAGTCTATAGTTCACTATAGATTCTGCCCGAGACAAATGGATCCCCCAAACTAAAAGAAACAAGACAAAGCATAGAATTTGATGTATCATTAACTACGGAGAAAAACCCGGACCTGGAATAGACGGCGGAAACTGAGATACCGGAGATGATGAGTAATGTTGCTCAATTCGTTGGTGAGTCTTGTTCCGCTTGTTACTAGAAAAAGCAGACAGAGGGTCCGTGTAATAATCGAACCTTTGAGTCTGGTATGATTCCTCCTGGCTCGGCAGTGGTCCAGATGTCTCAGCGAATGGATTCGAGAGCTGACTAGGGTTCATCGAAGTTTCTGCAGAAGCATTGATCTGAGCAGCTTCTGTCTGCATTGCTCGTAAACGCTCCTTTCTTTTTGCTGGATCCTCCATTTGGGCACAAGTTTAGAGCTTTTGAGCTGCAAGGCACGAGAATTCGCAAAGTATAACCGATTATGACAACGAAAGAAACCAAACCTAACCACTGAAAGTGTTCACGACAACTAACAAAAGGTACAAGGGAACGTATAAAAGAAATCAAAATACACAAACATACATTTAACCTAATTCATGCTCAATTACAATTCATGAACGGTGATACAATACACAAGCACACGCATATATGAGTTCTTGGAATAGAAACCATCTGCATCCCCAAATCTCTGTGGAATCCAGCGAAAAACCCTAATTACGTAAAAGCTCAAGCTCATCACTTCTCAGGCTCCGCAACAACAAGGTGTTGCGATTTCGTGATAAAGGGAAGAGAGCTTCAACACGTTAATTGGACAATTCATCGAACACTTGGTTGGCGAAATCCAAGAACCTAGTCAGTCGCAATCCAACCACACATGCGATCGAGGAGACACTCACAAAGACTTCATTACAAAAATCGAAGACAAAGGAAAACAAAGAGAGGAACGACCAATCAAATAGCAACAGAGAGCGAATCCAACGCAGGAAATAGAAAAATGAGCATACACTCATGAAAACCCAAAATTATGTTTGCTCATATCAACGAGAAGAGAACCCATATGGAAAAACCAGAGAATATCATATCTGATCCAAGGAGCGGGAGGAAAGAGGGAGGATGCAACTTGCCGGAAATGAACACGGCTATGGCGGAGGCGATAACCCGGCGGCAGGCAAGGGTCTTCGTGAGTTTTGTTCGGTGAGGTTTTCTCGTGGCTTTTTGCCTAGTCTCAAGTCTCTGATTTTTTTGGCTTTGTAGTTCAGGAAAAAAAAAATGAAACACAAAAATTCACACATTTAAAACTACCAACGAATAGATAAATTGATAAATTAATTTTAATATCATCACAATAATAGATTAACTATATTAAAATTTAGGATAATTGCAAAAAAAAAACCTGAGTTTTTAAAATTTAATAAATAAATAACTATCAACTTTCATTTTTATAACAAAAATATTTCGAATCGAACCGATTATGCCTCGGAGAGACAAGCATCTGGGCCCAGAACTAAAGGCCCAAATATAATAAGCCCATATATCCATTTTATTGAGTTTACACGCGGCCTTCTCTTTAACAGCCACGTAAGCATACGTGGCAGAGTTTGAAACCACCTCTTTTTTTTTTCCCTCGTTGTTACTCATCAACTGAGGTCCAACCTCCCCTTAACCGAAGACGACGCCGTTTGGCCGTCTCACATGGAAGAGAGTTCGTCGTCGGCGAGGGGACGGGTGAAGAGAGGCTGCTTATGGTTCGGCGTCTCTTTGCGAGAAGGTTTCCTTTACGTAAAGGCTTTCTTAGTCGGCCAAGTACGCTCTTCTACACGA